AAATGACAAAGAGCACTCTGATTGGATGGATTTCAAGCCCACCAATCAGAGTGTTATGAGTCATTTTACACAGTGTGGGAAAGTTCTTTGGAATTTAAACCAACCAATCAGAGTGTTCTTAGCCTAATTCCAGGGCCGGGCAAGGCTTTATAAGCCTTGCTCGCCCTGCGGAGCTCAGTCTGCGCCGTGCCCTCCATGGGGGAAGATGGATTAATTTTTTTAGCGTCTTTTTTTTTCCTTTTTCATCAGGTTATTTTTTCGCTCAGGTTTTTTATTTTATATTTTAAGTTCAACAGGTATTATGGTTTTTTATTTGGCCTTTTTTGGGGCTGAAAAATGAAGAAAGAAGACATCAAATGGTAAGTTTTCTTTTTCTTTACAGGTTAGTTATTTTATTCCCCCCTCACTATTTTTAGGGTGAGGTGGGTAGGTAGGGGATAGTTTTTTATTTGGGTGGGTGGGGTGACTAGGGGCTTGGGGACCCCTAGTCACTTTGGAGATTTGTCATTTAGGGCCCCCACCTGCCGCCCAGGGGTGGGGATCAGGGGGGAGGACAGTAAGTCCTCCCCTCAATATCTTTATGGCCCCCACCCACCGCTCAGGGGTGGGGGCCAGGGGGAGGACAGTAGGTCCCTCCCCTTATTGTTATTTATGGCCCCCACCCGCCGCACAGGGGTGGGGGTCGAGGGGAGGACATTAGGTCCCCCCACATTCTTATTTAGGGCCCCCACCCGACGCGCAGGGGTGGGGATCGGGGGGGCTGCGCGTCGGGACATGTGCGGGAATCTCACAGTCTATCTAGTGTGGGCAGATGACGTGTCCCACAGGGACTTCTTCTACCCACACAAAGATGGTGGCGCCCAGAATATAGATCGGGCAGAAAATAAAGTTTTAAAATAGGTAATATGGGGGGCTTAGGGGCATTTGGGGGTGACTAGGGGGTCAGTTAGATGTAGTGGAGTCGGGAGGGGGTTAAAAAAAAAGGTGATTCGGCCCTGACAGTGCCGCTTTAACCCCTTAAGGACCAAACTTCTGGAATAAAAGGGAATCATGACATGTCACACATGTCATGTGTCCTTAAGGGGTTAAAGAAGACATCCCAGGGTATTTCAAAAGGCATATTTTTGAACCTTAGCGTGGGATAATTTTTCCACTAGCTTGTACCAAGTGTAGTGGTAATAAGCGTTTTTTTCTGCCTTTTTGACACACAAAGTGAGTTTGCACAGTATATTTTGCAAATTGTATGTGTGCTACGACTGTATAATACTTCATATGTTGCTCAGCTATGTCGGCTGAGTACAGCAATACCCCCGTATGTACCTTTGCCAGGTATATGTGGACATCGGAGGGGCACATTTGAGACACAATCATTCTAGTTTTTTTCAAACTTTAAATTTTTACGCTGTGCCATGTCCCATTTTAAAGTATTTTAGCAGGCTATATAATCCAAATACCCCATAGTGGCATAACATTTCTTTAAGAAGACATCCCAGGGTATTTTATAAGGCATATTTTGAACCTTAGTGTGGGATAATTTTTCCGCTAGCTTGTACCAAGTGTAGTGGTAATAAGCGTTTTTCTGCCTTTTGGACACACAAAGTCAGTTTGCACAGTATATTTTGCAAATCGTATGTGTGCTACGACTGTATAATACTTCACATGTTGCTCAGCTATGTCGGCTGAGTACAGCAATACCCCCGTATGTACCTTTGCCAGGTATATGTGGACATCGGAGGGGCACGTTTGAGACACCGTCATTCCAGTTTTTTTCAAACTTTAAATATTTACGCTGTGCCATGTCCCATTATATAAAATTCAATATTTTTGATCGTGCATGAGATTACAATGCATCCTGCATTGCCACAACAGCAAATGCGAGGATTTGCAGTACATTCTATGATACATGTAGGATGACATTGAGGACTGTTAGAGATAATACTTTGCATCATTTGAGAGATCAGCACCAAATTTTATATCTAAGGTATTGTAGCTGGTTAAACATAACCGGTTTGTCACTTAGACACTCACCAACAAAATGGTTGCATTACGTGCTAGGTAAGTTAGTAACAATGATTAAGCCTAACAACAATTTTGTAGAAGAAACATGAGTTAGTCAAGATAATGTGGTTGATTAAAATAGTAGTACTGGTGGTTGGTACGTCACGATGGGCTAGCTGTCAGGATTAACTAAGTATGGCTTCAGGTAATTTATGTGTAATCTATGTGGTCGTGAGGGCTCCTCTGCTTTCAAAGGTGTACGTTATAATGCCAGGTGTATAAGACTAGCAGTGATTGCAGGGCAGAACACATGTAATACATGAGGGAATAATAGCCTATGTTAAAAAGGCAGATATCAAGTTAAATTAAATGAAGCAATAACATGCAGTTAGCTGGCATAGTTATATATGTACACATGGGTAATGAAGAAGATGGGTAGTACTGCTTCTTTCCGTAGTGAGCTCATATCGGGGCAAGATCTCCCACACAAGCCAGTAGGATGCATGAAGGCTAAAACTCGCGATCGCCCAGTGGGGCAGATAGTGTCCAGGGTGCAGTGGCTGCTTGTGTATGTCTCTTAGCAGTCATGCTGTCCCAGTGTAGGGCTAATCCTCAGCCTATTCCCAGTCTGAGGGAGTGCAGCTAGTCTGTGCAGAGGGTCTGCCGGACATTAAAGGATGGGCCTTGTCGATGGGTCAGGTGCTCCCCTGCTTGTATGTGTGCTGGCATTTGTACACCACAGATCTGGGGACGTGTCGGTGCCGGATCTGTTCTCTTCCGGGGGCAGTCGTGATTCCTGGTAGTGTCTGATGCTGGTTGTGGCTGGTCTGCATTGGCATAGGTGAGGCGGTGAGGTAGTACCTCTTGGAGCTCTCTGCCCAGGTAGGCTTGTAGCAGGGGGGGTGGCCCGCTTGTGGTTTCGGGTGTCCCTGGGGTGGTTTACCCGTCCCCTGTTTCCCTGTTTAGTTTGCAGTGCTCGAGGTTGTTTTCTATCCTCCGGTTGCCATCCGGCCTCCTTACTAGTGGAGGGCCTGGGCAGCCTCAGGATGCGTGTTCGTGCAGCCCTGTGCTTGGTTGGAGTGTGCCTCCCTCTCCGTCGCCGCTTAGGTGCCCCTGCTTCTTGTGAAGTTGCAGGTTGTGGAAGAGGGCAGTTGCGTGTCTGTGGTGGTGCGGGTGGATAAAGCTTGCTCTCGAGTTGCTGCTAGTGATGTACCTAATGGTTCGCCGGCGAATGGTTCCCGGCGAACATAGCATGTTCGCGTTCGCCACGGCGGGCGAACATATGCGCGGTTCGACCCGCCCCCTATTCGTCATCATTGAGTAAACTTTGACCCTGTACCTCACAGTCAGCAGACACATTCCAGCCAATTAGCAGCACACCCTCCCTAGCAGACCCTCCCACCTCCTGGAAGGCATCCATTTTAGATTCATTCTCAAGCTGCATGCTTAGTAAGAGGAGGGAAAGTGTAGCTGCTGTTCATAAGATAGGGAAAAGCATAGCTAGGTTAGGGATAAGGGTATGCTTTTTAAAAAAATTTTTTTCTATGTAATGTAATTGCACTTAGTTGTCTGCCACTGCTGCCAGCTTCTGTGTCAGGCTCACAGTGCATACTGTGCCCATTTCCCCAGTCAGTGCCACCAATTACATCTGGTGTCACAATAGCTTGGATTTAAAAACAAAAAACTTTTTTCACTGTTATAGATTGAATAGCAGTCGGTCGCCACTGCTCACTGTTATAGATTGCCACCACTTAATCTGGTGACACAAGATTTAAAAAAAAAAAACTTTTTTCACTGTTATAGATTGAATACAGTCAGTTGTCTGCCACTGCTGCCAGCTTCTGTGTCAGGCTCACAGTGCATACTGTGCCCATTTCCCCACACCACTTAGATCTGGTGACACAAAGCTTGGATTTAAAAACAAAAAACACTTTTTTCACTGTTATAGATTGAATAGCAGTCAGTGTCCTTAAAGCGGGTGTGTTACGCTAACAGTGGATACGTGACCATTGCCACCACTTAGATCTGGTGACACAAAGCTTTGTTTTAAAACAAAAACACTTTTTTCACTGTTATAGATTGAATAGCAGTCAGTGTCCTTAAAGCGGGTGTGTTACGCTAACAGTGGATACGGTGACCATTGCCACCACTTAGATCTGGTGACACAAAGCTTGTATTTAAAAACAAAAAACACTTTTTTCACTGTTATAGATTGAATAGCAGTCAGTGTCCTTAAAGCGGGTGTGTTACGCTAACAGTGGATACGGTGACCATTGCCACCACTTAGATCTGGGGAGACAAAG